ACCATCAATTCATCACAACCACCACCATCGTCATCACCACCATCACCATCAATTCATCACAACCGCATTGCCCCACACACATAGTACATACACACAGTACACACAGCACACACACAGTACACACAGCACACACACACACAGTACACACAGTACGCACACACAGTACACACACACAGTACACACAGCACACACAGTACTCACACACAGTACACACACAGTACACACAGCACACACACAGTACACACACATCACACACAAATAGTACACACACACACAGTACACACACAGTACACACAGTACACACACAGTACACACAGTACACACACACAGTACACACACACAGTACACACACACACAGTACACACACACACAGTACACACAGTACACACAGTACACACACAGTACACACAGCACACAGTACACACAGTACACACACAGTACACACACACAGTACACACAGCACACACACACAGTACACACGCACAGTACACAGTACACACACAGTACATACAACACACACACACAGTACACACACAGTACACACACACACAGTACACACAGTACACACACAGTACACACACACACAGTACACACAGTACACACACACACAGTACACACACACACAGTACACACACAGTACACACACACAGTACACACACAGTACACACACACAGTACACACACAGCACACACACACAGTACACACAGTACACACACACACAGCACACACACAGTACACACACAGTACACACACACACAGCACACACACAGTACACACACAGTACACACACAGCACACACAGAGCCCCCCCCCCCTCGCCGTGCTTGCGGCGGGGTGGGGGGAGTGGGGGGACAGTGGGGGGGGGGGGGCGTCTCGAGGCGAGGCGCTCGCGCCGCCCGCCCAGCGGCGACGCTGCTGCCCACAGAGGCGACCACCACCACCACCCCCACCACCACCCCCACCACCACCACCCCCACCACCACCACCACCTCCCCCACCACCACCTTTACCACCACCGCCACCACCACCACCAGCACCACCACCTCCACCATCACCACCACCACCACCACAACCATCACCACCGCCACCATCACCACCACCAACACCGCCACCACCACCACCGCCACCCCCACCACCGCCACCGCCACCACCACCACCCCCACCACCACCCCCACCGCCACCACCACCACCCCCACCACCGCCACCACCACCCCCACCACCACCCCCACCACCACCACCACCCCCACCACCGCCACCACCACCAGAGCGGAGTTCTTTATTTCCATGCTCGCACCAAACTGAAACTGCGGAGAGAGACAAAGCGCCGGGCGGGCGCGCGGGGGATCTCTCAGCCCGCCCCCCCCCCCCGCGTCATTAACGCGGCGCCTCCGCGCACAAAGGGGGAGAGCGGCGCAGTCTCCTCGCGCCCCCATTGTAGCCCCCCCCCACCCTCTCCTCTATTGATCCCGCAGCCCTACAAAGCGTGAGTGGTGGGGGGGGGGCGAGCGAGGGAGCGCTCGCGACTTCCAGAGACACCACCGCATTGAGCTGCTGCGCCCATTATTCGTGCGCCTTGCGGGATTTACGACCGCTGCCATCAACACCACCGCCGCCGCCGCTCGGTCCCCTTATCCCCTCGATTCACAGCCCCCCACCCCTACAGCCTCGCGCAGTAGACGAAGGACCCCCGTGTAGCCTCAACAGACTGTCGGGGCAAGTGCTGTGAGCCAGCCGCGAGCACCGCACACGCGCCACGCCGCGCGTGCCTCTCCTCCCTCGCCGTGCCATCTGCACGGAGCGCCTCTCGCTCCGTGTTATTTGAGAGCCAAAACTCGATTCGTGTGGGTGGTGGCGCTCCGTGGGGGGGTGGAGGTGGAGGTCACAAGGTCGGACCGCAGCATCTCGCTAACAGCGCCGCTGCTGTCCCCCGCTTCAACCCCCACCTCCCCTACCACCCCCCCCCCCCCCAGCTCTCTCCCCTCGTCTATAGCCGCTCCTCCTTTGTCGCGATGGTTTGGCGAGGCCCCCCCTCTCTCTCTCGCTGGTGCTGGCCACCCAGCCCCTCGTGTGCCGTTCTGGCCTTCACAGGTGCTGCTTGCTAACAGCACTTGCCCCTACAGCCTGTTGAGGCTACACGGGGGATCTTTGTCTGTGTCTGTGTGTGAGGCGCTCGCTAACAGCACTTGCCCCTACAGCCTGTTGTGGCTACACGGGGGATAGGGGAGGGCTTTCACCTATCTGTTAGAGCTTTTAACAGACAACAGGACAAGAAGTCGCAACTCATCGAGATGCTGCTTCTCACACAGCTTAAAGGTCGTGATCTAAGCGTGGCTTCTCCCACTCCAGCGCTGTCCTCCAGACAGTCTCGTCCCTTCACCTGATGAAGGCCGCTTGTGTTGTGGCCGAAACGTCGTGATTTTTTGTTATTTTATTTTCACCTACGTGACTTTACCCAATAGAACCAAAGAGTATGGATCCTAGCAGTCACGAAAGCTTTAAATCTAGAATACACGGGGGATCTTTGTCTGTGTCTGTGTGTGAGGCGCTCGCTAACAGCACTTGCCCCTACAGCCTATTGAGGCTACACGGGGGATCTTTGTCTGTGTCTGTGTGTGAGGCGCTCGCTAACAGCACTTGCCCCTACAGCCTGTTGAGGCTACACGGGGGATCTTTGTGTCTGTGTGTGAGGCGCTCGCTAACAGCACTTGCCCCTACAGCCTATTGAGGCTACACGGGGGATCTTTGTCTGTGTCTGTGTGTGAGGCGCTCGCTAACAGCACTTGTCCCTACAGCCTGTTGAGGCTACACGGGGGATCTTTGTTCTGTCTCGCTCTCTCGTTCCCTCGGGCTCGTTGCCACGCTACTGGTCACGCAGAATGGAGGGCATTCAGTGTGTTCGTGTGTATCTGTGTGTGTGTATATCTGTGTATGTGTGTATCTGTGTTCGTGTGTATCTGTGTCCATGTGTATCTGTGTCCGTGTGTATCTGTGTCCGTATGTATCTGTGTCCGTGTGTATCTGTGTTCGTGTGTATCTGTGTATGTGTGTGTATATGTGTGTGTTAGAAACATTTAGGCTGGCCTGCCTACGATCCATCCTGGGTTTAACCAGGCTGGATTGTGTGAGGAGCTCACAGATCCTTGAAAGATCTGGGCACGGTCCCATCGGTGAGCTCCTCCAGCAGGCAAGGCTGCGTTGGCTGGGTCATGTAGCCCGCATGCCCAGCCACCGCATGCCGAAACAGCTTTTGTTCGGCCGGATCGAGGGGGCTAAGCGGGCGCGGCACGGGCTAGAGAAGAGATGGAGTGATGTGGTACAGGAGGACGTGGAGCTGAGTGGACTTGTCGATGACTGGTACCAGCGGTGTCAAGATCGGCCTCTGTGGAGGAGGCTCGTGAAGGACGCTATTGGGCAGTTGGAGGCAGTCGCCCTCCAGCAACAACGGAAGGTGGAGGAGCGACGCTCACAACAACGAGCGGAGCGCCGGGTGGCTAAAGCACAGCAGGTTGGCACAGTAGGGGGCACAGGTGGTGCATCAGCCAGTCATCTCAGTCAGTCGACCCGTGGCACCTGGGTCTGCCCCGTGACCTCCTGCCAGCGGGCGTTCGACACTCCACGTGGCCTCCATGTGCACATGGCCTGGCACAAGCGCCGTGGTGACGTCACCGCCACTTAGTGGCGAATGGCGGTTGTTGTTGTGTATCTGTGTGTGTGTCTGTGTGTGTCTGTGTGTGTATCTGTGTGTGTGTCTATCTGTGTGTGTATCTGTGTGTGTGTCTGTGTGTGTGTATCTGTATGTATCTGTGTGTGTGTCTCTGTGTGTGTCTATCTGTGTGTATCTGTGTGTGTGTATCTGTGTGTGTATGTGTGTGTGTCTGTGTGTGTGTCTGTGTGTGTGTATCTGTGTGTGTATCTGTGCGTATCTGTGTGTGTGTAGCTGTGTGTGTCTCTGTGTGTGTCTATCTGTGTGTATCTGTGTGTGTATCTGTGTGTGTATGTGTGTGTGTCTGTGTGTGTGTCCGCTAATCCTATTTTTCACGGTCCTTCTGCCGTTGACACCGCGGCTGCGGGGTGCGGGGGGCGCTGCGGGGTGGTTTGGGGCGAGAGGAGCGGGAGGAGGGGGGAGGAGGAGGTGGGGAGGAGGAGGGGGAGGAGGGGGGGGGGGAGGAGGTGGGGAGGAGGAGGAGGAGGGGGGGGAGGAGGTGGGGAGGAGGAGGTGGGGAGGAGGGGGGTGCCGTGCGCCTTGGGAAGGAGGCGACATCACAGGAGCGGCTGCACCGTGCGCATTCATCTCCCAGCAGCCGGTGGGTGATTAGAGAGCAACACGTCACCACCACCACCACGGCCTCTGTGGCTGCCGCGAGGCCGAGTCCGACGTTCGACCTCGCGGCTCCGAGAGGCGCGAGGTGAAAGCGGCGCTCCGGGGTTTGCGAGCCGCGCTAAAAACAATAAAAATCACTGGCGCGCCTCGAACGCGACTATCGACGTGGATGTGCAACTTGACACGGCTACACACGCAGCCAAATGGCCAGAGAGTGTGAGTGTGTGTGAGTGAGTGTGAGAGTGTGAGTGAGTGTGAGAGTGTGAATACACGCGGCATTGTACACACGGCATTCACATTCCCCGTGCCAATTCTAACCCCCACCCCCCATTCACCGCGTCCCGCCGTCCCAGGTCTCGCCACCTTGCCACGAATAAACAAAACAAAGCTTTTGTCTGCTGAGCGCGGTGTCCCAGGGCGCGCTGTCTCTGAGCACGGAGCGCAGAACGACCCCCTCGCTCCCCGATCGTGCCGTGGTCACCTCGCCTCCCCCCTCTCCACCACCACCACCACGCGGCCTCTCTCTCTGCACCGCTCGCCTCCAGAATTGGCCCCGGGTCGAGTGGAGACGCCGAGCGCCGCCACCGCCGCCTTCACCCCGCGCCAGACCCCGGACAAAGCCCGACCGCGGCGTGGTGGAGTCGGGGGGTAGGGGGGTGGGAGAGACCCCTCCCGCTCACCTGCGCAGTTGCCGTGCTTGCCCTTGCCCTTGCAGCCGGGGGACGAGGATCCGCGTCCTCCCTGCGCCTCGGCCACCGCGACGAGGGCGCCCACGAGGAGAGCCGCTCGCCAGAGCGCGGACGGGAGGCCGCCTCCCTCCATGGTAGCCTCCCCCCACTGCCGCCTCCTGCGCGCGTGGCGATGTCTCCGTGCCTCTTGTTGCGCCTCCTCCTGCTGCTGCTGCTCCTGCTGCTGTTGCTGCTGCTCTTGCTGCTGATGCTCCTGCTGCTGTTGCTGCTGCTCCTGCTGCTGCTGCTCCTGCTGCTGCTGTTGCTGCTGCTGCCGAGTGTGCACGCTGACCATCATCAAGAGCGACTCTTCAATCGGGGCGCGCCTTTGTGCGTTTTTTTCCCCCTTGTTGTTAAATCCCCAATTTCTAGAGGATGCCAACTCGTGCTAACTCCCCAATATCTAGAGGATGCCAACTCGTGCGTAATCCCGACCCTCTATAAAGACGCTCGAACCGACGCCTCTCTATTCTCGTCCTCCTCTCGCTCCCCCTGCCTCACCTTCTCTCTGTTTTACAAAAATATTTTCACACAAAGCCGCCGCGCGTCGTCAGAGGAACGCGCGGACGCGCTGCAGATCGCCACGAGGAGCGGGACGAAGAGGGAGAAGGGGAGAAGACATCGCCCGGCTGAGTTTCGCAGCGCACACCGCGGCGTCTGGCGGCAAGGGGCGACGGGCGGGCGGGCGGGCGGCGTCAGCCCCGAGGATGGATGGGCTCCGTGGCGCTGGGTCCGCGCCTCGGTGACGGAGCGACGCACAAAGGCGAGAGGGAGAGCAGGAGGAGCAGCAGGAGGAGGAGGAGGCAGTGAGCGAGCGAGCCGCTCATCACAGCGGCGGCCGCGTTGAGGAGGAATCGCTGAGCCAGGCGAGCGCGGGCTCGGAGCTGCTGCTGCTGCCGCTGCTGCCCGGGTTCGCGTTCCCTCGGGAAACGGCGGAGAATCCACTCTCATACAGCTGCTGCCGCTACAGCTACAGCAGCTACAGCAGCAACAGGAAGCGGACGGAGATGGGGGAGAAGGAGGAGGAGGGGGTGGTGCAGTATGAGCAGCAGCAGCAGGAGGAGGAGAGTGGTGGTGGTGGATGATGATGATGGGCTGGTGAGGTGGTTTGTTTGGGGGGGGTAGGTGATGGAGGAGGAGGGATGAGGGTTGTGGGGTGCGGGGGGGCTGGGTGCGTGTGGGGGAGGGGAACGATAGGCGATGCGAAATCTGCCAGGGCGAGAGAGAGGGGGAGAGGGAGAGAGAGATGGAGGGGGAGAGGGATGGAGGGCGGGGGCGAGGGAGGAGAGGACGCGGAGCGGCGTCTGAAGGCGGCGCCTCTCACCGCGGCCTCCACATCGCGATTATCGCCTCGGTCTGCGCGCGAGTGGCTTCGTGAGGTCTGGAGGCGCCTCACGAACGCGCCGCACCATCGCGCGCGCGTCTCTCTCTGCAGGAGCTGCCTCCAGACGTTTTTTTTTTAAATCAAAGCCCATTTCGTTCATCGATGCTCCTTGAGGGAGCATCCTTCGAGCATCCGGTTGCTTTGCCCATTCCGAGCCTGGCGTTGATGGAGTTGCTACAGCGAGTCGGAGGCGATCTGCGGGAGCTGCTAGCCGGGCACGCCATACCCCTGCCCCCCTGTCTGCTTGATGCTTTATTCACTTCGTAAGTCTCCTCTCTCCTAGTCCCCTCCTCTCTGTAACTTCATTTCTCTCTCTCGTAGTCAAATAAAACCACCTCATCATCATCAGCAGCATCCCGCGACCCCATCGTCCGCACCTTCCCGTCACGCCGTGTGTGTGTGTACACGTGTGTGTGTACACGTGTGTGTGTGTGTACACGTGTGTGTGTTACACGTGTGTGTGTGAACACGTGTGTGTGTACAGAGGAGACTCGTGAGGTAGGCTACTGGGCAGTTGGAGGCAGTCGCCCTCCAACAACAATGGAAGTGGGAAGCTCACAACAACGAACGGGAGCGCAGGGCGAATAAAACGCAGCGAGTTGACGCAGTGGGGAGCACAGGCGGTGCATCTGCCAGCCATCTCAGTCAGTCAACGCACGGCCACTGGTTCTGTCCCGTGATCTCCTGCCAGCAGCGAGGCCTTCCACACTTCACGTGGCCCCGGAGTGCACATAGCCTGGCACAAGCGCCACTTAGTGACGAACGGCGCGTGATGTCGTCACCATCGTCACTGTTGCGGGTGTGAGGGTGACCTCACTACTCCTCCATCTGCGTGTCGCCGAACGCGAGCCGCGCGTCGCCATCTGTTGAAGGCGACTCGCCCGACTGGGCTGACCGAAGCGGCGGTGGTGGTGGTGGTGGCGGTGGTGGTGGCGGTGGTGGAGGCGGTGGTGGTGGCAGCGGTGGTGGCAGTGGCGGTGGTGGTGGCGGTGGTGGTGGTGGCAGCGGTAGTGGTGGCAGCGGTGGTGGCGGTGGTGGTGGTGGTGGCGGTGGTGGTGGTGGTGGCGGTGGTGGCGGTGGTGGTGGCAGTGGTGGCGGTGGTGGCGGTGGTGGTGGCAGCGGTGGTGGTGGTGGCGGTGGTGGCAGCAGTGGTGGTGGTCTCGAGCGCGTGGCACGGGCACCGCACGGGCAGTCAAAACGCGATGCCGGTCCCTCAGCCTCCTGGCGTTTCACGTTCCATGGCAACGTTACCTAGGCAGCGTTTGTTCAAGGGAGCAAACTCTGGAGCGGATTTGACGAGCCGGATCTCGTGCGACAGGGACGGGATTGGCCCGGACGGTTATTTGGACTCCGTTCCCTGCATCCCGTACTCCGCACCGCGTGTGCGCGGTCAGCCCGTGGCATCTCCTCCATTCACTGGTAAATTATAAAGATTTCCGCGCTCTGTTGACACGGAGACGCGGGAGCATGGATCCGCACTAAGTGACCCGACGGACGGAGTAACGCAGATGACACGAGCGGAGAATTCCCCGTCAAATCGACACCCTTAGACACCACACCCTCAACGGGGACTTGGGAATTCGGTGATGCGAGTGCGAGATTGGTGCCGTGCCCTCTTGCCCTGCCGGTGATTATCATCGTTCAGCAAATTAATATGCAGCCCGTTCTCAATCCACTGCTGGATGAAGGCCTATCCCCGCGACGTGTCGGTCATTTGTTTTCTTTGACCAGCACTCCGCTCACTGCGGGTTGCTGCAAGGCGAGTCGCCCAGACACCACGCGCCACTGACGGTAGCCGCGACCCGGAGCCGAACTCGGGGAGCCGGGTTTGGGGCGCAGCTCGCTCACAGCGACGCTGCCACTCACGAACACGGCACGCCGATGTCTACCACTTGATCCACGTGCTCCGAAGAAGGGTCATTTCCTGAAACGTCGCCTATTATATACAGGGTGCTTCAAAAAACGTAACCACTTCTGAGAATTTGGAACAACACCACGTGACACGTGCTGCTGCCTCCTGGCTCTGGAGATCACCTGGAGAAGATTCTGGGCAACGCGTTGGCAACGATGGCGAACACGTGGAGACTGACTTGTTGAAGCTAATAACATGACATTTGTTCTCATGTTACAGTGTGTTATCCGTTCTTTTTTCATTTAAAACGATAGTGCCATGTAAATAAAATGACAAATTAGCACCCTGTAAAGAAAACAATAAAATCGCGTCCATGGTCACAGTGGTTTTGACGAGATAGTCATTGTCTGTGCTGCTGTGCAGATCTCTGCTGTGCGCCAATCGGCGTGACCCCACAGCTGGAATCGTTCATGCTGATGATGAAGATCCTCGTGGTGGTGGTGATGATCGTGATGACGGTGGTGGTGGTGGTGGTCGTGATGACGGTGGTGGTGGTGGTGGTCGTGATGACGGTGGTGGTGGTCGTGATGACGGTGGTGGTGGTGGTGGTCGTGGTGGTGGTGGTGATGACTGTGGTGGTGATGATCGTGATGACGGTGGTGGTGGTGGTGGTGGTGATGACGGTGGTGGTGATGATCGTGATGACGGTGGTGGTGGTGATCGTGATGACGGTGGTGGTGGTGATCGTGATGACGGTGGTGGTGGTGATCGTGATGACGGTGGTGGTGGTGGTGATGATCGTGATGACGGTGGTGGTGGTGATGACGGTGGTGATGACGGTGGTGGTGGTGATGATCGTGATGACGGTGGTGGTGGTGATGATCGTGATAACGGTGGTTGTGGTGGTGATGATCGTGATGACGGTGGTGGTGATGATCGTGATGACGGTGGTGGTGATGATCGTGATGACGGTGGTGGTGATGACGGTGGTGATGACGGTGGTGGTGGTGGTGATCGTGATGACGGTGGTGGTGATGGTGATCGTGATGACGGTGGTGGTGATGATCGTGATGACGGTAGTGGTGGTGGTGGTGGTGGTGATGACGGTGGTGGTGGTGATGACGGTGGTGGTGGTGATGATCGTGATGACGGTGGTGGTGATGATGACGATAATTAATCAGGGGCGGCCACCCGTCCGTAGAGGCGCCCGAGGCAGTCGCCTAGGGCGCTAAGTTAAGTGGGGCGACAAATTCGAGAAAAAAAATACAGATTAAAATATACAAATAAATAAAAATAGATACAAAGAAAAAATATACAAATTAACAAAAAAGATGCAGTAAAAAAATATACGACTAAAAAGAGTACAAATAAAAAATATACAAATAAAAATCCAAATAAAAAAATAAACAAATAACTAACGGAGATGTAATTTTAACACGAAGGCTTTCGCGACCAATATCATCCATAATAGAGGGAATATTAATTTTCATCCTTTCTCAACATTTCTGAGAATGTATAGGTTGGACAGACGGACGGGCGGACGCACAAACCGAATCATTATGCATCTGTTTTTTTAATACTCCTATACAAAACATTGAACGGAAAATCGGGGCAAAATGTTTCCCAGTTTACCAAAAACCTCAGCCGAGATTTGCCCGTCGAGTGGCGTGGACGGCCCTGCGCGGCTCGGCAGGCAGAGGCTCCGGCTAACGTCGCCCCACGCGAGACTCGGCGACTCGGGTTAACGTCGCCCCACGCGAGACTCGGCGACTCGGGCTAACGTCGCCCCACGCGAGACTCGGCGACTCGGGCTAACGTCGCCCCACGCGAGACTCGGCGACTCGGGCTAACGTCGCCCCACGCGAGACTCGGCGACTCGGGTTAACGTCGCCCCACGCGAGACTCGGCGACTCGGGTTAACGTCGCCCCACGCGAGACTCGGCGACTCGGGCTAACGTCGCCCCACGTGCGCTGGCCCCGCGGTGATTCCTGTCACCGGAGCGCCGCGCGATCGACGGCCACCCGTGAGTCCCAACCCGACTCTCGCAGGCGGCAGTGGCAGCGTAATCACCACCATCAGACAGCAGCAGCAGCATCAGCAGCAGCAGCGTCAGATAGCAGCAGCAGCAGCGCCAGACAGCAGCAACATCATCAGCAGCATCATCAGCAGCACCAGAGAGCAGCATCAGCAGCAGCAGCGTCAGATAGCAGCAGCAGCAGCGCCAGACAGCAGCAACATCAGCAGCAGCATCATCAGCAGCACCAGAGAGCAGCATCATCAGCAGCATCATCAGCAGCACCAGAGAGCAGCATCATCAGCAGCAGCGTCAGATAGCAGCAGCAGCAGCGCCAAACAGCAGCAACATCAGCAGCAGCATCATCAGCAGCACCAGACAGCAGCATCATCAGCAGCATCATCAGCGCCAAATAGCAGCAGCGCCAGATAGCAGCATCAGCAGCAGCATCATCAGCAGCAGCATCAGCAGCACCAGACAGCATCATCAGCACCAGGCAGCAGCATCATCAGCACCAGACAGCAGCATTATCAGCAGCAGCATCATCAGCAGCGCCAGATAGCAGCAGCGCCAGATAGCAGCATCATCAGCAGCAGCATCATCAGCAGCAGCACCAGACAGCAGCATCAGCAGCATCAGCAGCGCCAGATAGCAGCAGCGCCAGATAGCAGCATCATCATCAGCAGCAGCATCATCAGCAGCAGCACCAGACAGCAGCAGCATCAGCAGCACCAGACAGCATCATCAGCATCATCAGCACCAGGCAGCAGCATCACCAGCAGCACCAGACAGCAGCATCATCAGC